CTAACAAGGGGCTGACTCTAAATCCATTGATGTTCAAATATCATGGTAAAAATGGGAATAAGTAAAAAGAAATCAGAATTTCAAGAAAGCAGGTTTCTCGGGGACACTAAATGTGTATTCATGAAATAAGTTGGGGAAACAGAGTGAACCATTGTCACAAACAGGGGATAGAAACTCAGCAAAGAGGCACCCAGAGGAGAGTCTAAAGCCAGCAAAGCCTGCACGCTACCAAATGCTCTGGCAGTATCTTCTTTTACCAGACCCCACTTAGACTCATCTTCCCTAAGCCACTCAGAATACTTCCAACCTTCTCATTTTCCCATTCTCCCCCTCCTCTCTCCATCTATCTCTGTCCGTCTGTCTGTCTGTCCATTATACATATATGCATAAACACACATATATAAAGGAAAAGTTTTCTTTAATCACTGAGTTTACATATCTCCCTGTGATGCACATGATTAGGAAACTGAATAACAATGTGATAGAAGACATAGCAGAACTGGCATCATGGGACAAGAGTGAAATGAACAGACTCAGCCCAGACAATGATGTCACCAGGATATGTGACAGATCCCTCCAGCACCTTTACCAGTTTCTTCCTCTGCATAAATAGACCACCTGCCTGCCTCACATGGATTATTTTCCCATATCTCCCATGGAGTATGGTAAACCAGGAGGTTCTATGAATACAGGAAGTGTAATATAGGATTGCTCTTAAAACAATGTCATTAAACCTCTCCAGCCAAAGACATATGAGCTTCAAATGTGCTATTTCTCTGTTAAGAGGAGAAAGGGGCAACAATGGGGAGCTTTTAACAGTAGAGACACAGCACCAATAATACTTTCTTTTGATGTACTGAGAAGGATGTGGAGGAAAAAATGAAGCAGAGTTGGAGTTTAGCAAATATGACATGATGTTTCATATGGACCAAGTCACTTTTGCTTTCCCAATCATCTCTATTCCATGTGTGATGGATCTCTCCTCCATCTTCCCTGTTCCATCAGTGATGAGCCTCTCTGCTTTGTAGCTGCAACCTGTTGTTCCCATTGTATGTTTTTTCTTGCTACTTGATTGAGCCAAATAGGACTCAAAACAATAAAACTCTTGGCTGAGTCTTTAAGCTCACCTAGCTAGTGAAAGCTGTGGCTAAGTCAATCATACATCATTCTTTAATTCACAAACTGGTAGACTGGATGGAAGTGATAGACAGCTCTCTCAAACAGTTAATAACATCGGGGAATTCAGATTTCATTACAGATGGCTGGCAGCAGAGAACAAATTTTGAGTTGTTATCAAAATTAAACACCTGCTGATGAATGATTGGACCTATCAAGTGGCTAATCAGAAAAATCCCTTCTGAAGCCAATCTGATGTTGCAGAACTCTCTGGACTTACCCTCTTGGGTTGCCTGTCAAGTAGACATATGACCAGGTGTGACTGTTCAAGCCTTGAGTCTTAGGAGAATTAATTAGCACCATAAATATAAATGGGTCTCTCTCTCCTGCTGAAACACTTCTCACCACTGTAGAGACAAAGCCACAGATCTCACAAGACATGGTGGCACTTGTCTGTAATTCTAGCACTTTGAAGGTAAACGCAGGAGAATTGTGAATTTGAAGCTAGCCTGGGTATATAGCAAGACTGTATGTCAAAAACTAAATAAACTCTAGCATAGTCTCCAAAGGCCTCCATGATCTTGTGATGGCTAACACTCTCTGTACCTCATCTTTTTATTTTGTTCTACACAATAGTTTTTAGTTATTGTTAACAACTTTACCTTGTAGGGGAAGAAAGGATTTGGGGAGTCACAGTTTTGCGTAGTTGAATGTATAAATAATTGGTCCATTGGTGTGGTGACAGATCTTAGCAGGGATATAAAACAGAACAAAGCCATCTAACCTCCCAGCTGGGACATGAAAAACAGCCTGGATCCTTTTGAGGGTGCATTCCCAGCATTTCAAAACCTTCTGTTAAACAATGCTTCCATATTAGCTACTTTTCTGTGCTACAATAAAACACCAGGACCAAGACAACTTATAGAAGAAAAGAGTTTATTTGGGGCTTACAGTTGCAAAGTGCTAAGAGTCCATCATGGCATGGAGGAGGCATTAGACAGACAACATGGCAGCAGGAGCTGAAACTGAAAGCTCACAGCTTAAGTCACAAGCAGGAAGCAGAGAGAGCATGTAGGATGTGGCTTCTTGATATCGCAAAATCCAGCCCCAGTAACATACTTCCTCTAGCAAGCCCATGACCATTAAACCTACCCAAACAGGCACCAACTGGGGACCAACTGGCAGACAACTGAGCCTGTAAGGGACATTGTCACTCAAACCACTTCTCTGAGATGTTGCCACCTCCCACTAGCACTAAACTGAGGCCACACCTTTATCAGAGAGACCTTTAGGGGACATTTTGTATCTAAACTACAGTGCTCACAAGCTCCACCCATAATACCCTTTTCTCTGTTCTCCAAACCAAGCCTCTTCATGTCATGTTGTCTATTCTTTCCCACCCTTATCACCTTCAACCCTTTCTAGTGCTCCTTCCCTGTAGGTGTCAGGTAAAGCTCCATCTCCTCAGGTTTCTCTAGGTCACTCTCACAAGCTCCTCTACTTTCCTACACTGAGAATTGTGGATGAATGCCTAATTCATGTCTTTCTACTCCACTGGAGGCTGAGAGTGACCATACTACATATATCCATATATCCCTAGCACATACCACAGTGCCTACCACCAAGGAGACATCCATAAAAATTTTCTAAATAAGTGAATGATGGATAGGTGGGTGGATGGATAGGTGGATGGGTGGATGGATCAATGGACAGACAGATGGGTGATTTCAAGCTGATTTGATGCTAAGACTGCTGAGTCATCCATCCAGCATTACTTAATATCAAGAGAATATTTGGGATGTCCCTTCTCATCCTCATCCAAGCTCCCTTTTCTCTAATAATGTACACCATTCTTCCTGAGGGAGGAGTGAATGTGAGGTGACCCAACCTTCTGATCCTCAGACAAAGAACTTTCAGGATCCTTGGACTTACACTTTTCTCAAAGGAAGGGTACCACAGTGAGCAACCCTCTGTGCTCATGGGAACCATGCATATCCAGGGCATATCAGTCCACTGATAGAAAGGCATTCTCAAGATGCTTGGCCTGCTGGCCTATGGAAGGAAATCTCACAGCTGTCTGCTGTAGTAGCCACAGCAGTGAAGAGAGGCAATGGTGTGGAGCACAGCATTCGGTTCCTGGGATTGCTTACTGGCTGTGTGGGTCTAAGTTTTTGGCTCAGTCTGGCTAAAATCCATGCTCTCAAAATTAGAAAAAAAATCTTTTACCTATGGGGTTTCTACTGGCATCAAATGAAATAATATTCTTTCTATCTTATCTAGGAGTTGCTGATACTTCCAATCATGAAAGAAATGTGTAACTTATAAAATGTACAAATTATAGGCAGAAAATATTATTTTACCAGTGTCTTCAAGAAGAGTTTTATCCTCCTGATTTTGAACAGCTATCTCCTCAGAGCAAAACACATTTTCACGCCCTTGCCATTTGGAGGCTGACAGATGCTTTTCTCACCAGACTGCTGAGAGGAGTTAAGATGTAGTAGCTGAGACCTCGGTGTGCACTGATTGGGTGTGCTGGAGTCTGAGTGTGCACTTATTGGGTGTGCTAGAGTCTGAGTGTGCACTGATTTGGGTATGGTGGAGTCTGAATATGCACTGATTGGGCATGGTGGAGTCTGAATATGCACTGATTGGGTATGCTGGAGTCTGAGTGTGCACTGATTGGGCATGCTGAAGTAAGCAGTACTGAACTTTGGAAATGTTGCTTCCTATTGATCACACTTTAGTTCACTAGAAAAACAAAAGTAAAACCTCTTTTTAAGGTTTAAAATAAATTTTAAAATTCTTAAAGTAGTAATCTAACTCCCTTTTCCACTTGTGGGGGGGGTGCCTGTTTCTGCAGGGAATTACATGTGCACATGAGTGTCTATGTATACATGCATGTGTATGTGAAAGCCAGAAGTCAACCTGGAGTGTCACTCCTGAGGAGCTACCTAACCTTCTTCATTTTGTAGAAAGTCTCACATTGGGACCTAGAACTCACTGGTTAGCTACTTAGACAGTTAGGGACCCACAGGGATTCTTCTGTGTCTGCCTCCCCAGTACTGGGACTACAAGGTGTGTGCCATATGTGGCTTTTACAGGGGTACTAGGGATCAAACTCCAATCCTCATGTTCGTACGATACGCATTTTACTGATGTCCATATATTACATTGATGCCAAAAATTATGTTGCTTAGATGTAACTTTTCTTCCAGTAATTAGTTATAATATTACAGTTTTGGGGAAATGACACAGAAAACCCTTTCCAAAATGTACATAATGCAATTAATAAATAATTTGAAGTAAATAGCCACAAATAAAAGAATTTGAAGTAGTAGCCACTAAACTTATGGCTATGGGTAAGGAAAAATGGCGGCAAGTAACTAAGTCTACTTCCTATTTCACCCTGTGAGGTTCTGAGACATGGGTTTATTTTTAAATGCACTTCTTTGTAAATTTTCACATTCAAAACAACAGATATTGTGGAGAAAACATAGGAAGAAGTAACTTGGTTAAAAAATAAATCCTCAGTAATTGTTTGTATTTCATAATGTTCCAATGCACTGTAGAGTGACTATGATTTAAAAAAAAAATACCGCATTGGATATTTTGAAATAGCTAGAAGAGTTTTGAGTGTTATCACTGCAAAGAAATGATAAATATATAAGGTGCTAGATGTGGTAAATACCTTGATTTTATTATTCTGTAGTCCCTAATGTATTCAAATACAACCCTATCAACTATGAGCAATTATGTGTAAATAAGATAAACTATAATACACTCACACCATAAGCACAACCACACACACACACACACACACACACACACACACACACACTGTATAGTAGTTGTGTTGACCTGACTGACCTTGGTTTCCATTGCAGACTTATCAATGAATCTTTGAGGGACCAGCTCTTGGTGACAATACAGAAGACTTTCACGTACACTCGTACCCAAGCTCAGCATCTGTTCATCATCCTCATGGAATGCATGAAGAAGAAGGAACTGGTATGTCAGCCCCGTAGATGGAAGGACACTCTCCATGTTCCCAAATGTTGGCTTCAATCCTGTGTCTTTCTCTTCTCCTGACCTTGCTTTCATAGTCTTCCAGAGCTTCCACTGGCTCTAGAACTCATGGAGTTTTCACTGTTGGCTCTAATGAAGTGTGTGTGTGCAGTGTGGGTAGCCAGGTTTCCCACATATTTCCCATTTTCAGTTCATCCAAATATTTCAGATTATCTCAACCAAATGAACCAAGGAGAATATAAAATCAGTTTCCTCCTAGGAATGTTCAGTTGAGCCTCTCATAGGGGTGGGGTTCCACTTTGCTTGTAAGCTGAGAGTCACTGGATGTTTTGTGTCACTGAATCTTTAATGACATTGCATCCAAGTTAATATGTTAAATAGTACAGATATAAAATAGATGGAGTACCTCAGAAGCTCTGGAACATCTGTGTGAAGTTCCTGTAGTGCTGTCTAGATGCTGCTTAAAAGTTTCTTTGGTCAGTTTAAAGTGTCCTACAGATGTGGAATAACCAGAGACAGTCTGGCAAGGTGTAGAGAAACCATGTGAGCTAATGCTAAGGATCCGGGCAAAAAGATGAGTCTTCCTGTCTATTAACACAGGTGATCTCTACAGCTCTCCCAATAAGAGAAACAAATGGTGCATTTACCTTGCACTTGAGGAAGTTGAGACTCACTTGGTGAGTAAAGAGTGAGTAAATGAGATGCAAAACCAGTGATGGTCAGTCACTGTGGGAGGTATTTTATTCAGCAGTTGTCTCATCCAAACTGACAGAGTAAATTTCCCACTTTGGGAAGATTCCCATTAGGCTCTTAGGAAAGAAAATATTCTCAAAGGCCAACTGAGCTGGCAATGAAAGCAACCAAATGTTTAGATGAAATAACATGTTCAGTAAGCAAGGCATTCTTAGAAGACATCTGCACACCCTTGTTAGTCAAGGCTTCCAGAACTTCCAGGTTTGGGATGAGAACAGAGAAAGTGGAGGCACCTCTAATTCCTGAATATCTAATTATATGTCCAAGTGCATACCCTGCTGTCTGATATAGGGAGAATAAACAAGCAGTTAGAGCCTATGGCCATGAGACCGCCATATTTGTCCTTCCATGAGACATGAGACTGCTTCTGAGTTCCAAAAGTGTTTAGATGCCAAAGCTAATGGCTAATGAGAAACCCTCACCATGACTAGGATTTTTCAGTAGCCTTGCAATTTCCTACAAAGGCAGTTCTAGAAAACATAGGAGCCATGAGAGGTTATAAAATTAAATGATATTGGATGGACTTTGTCAGGGTGTTTTATGAGACTGTCCTGTAGGATTCTGCTGGATAATTGTCATCTCATCATAAACACTGAGGAAATGGTTGAGTGCATTTCTAGACAAAATAAATGTGTAACACTCCCAGCTCCATACTAAGGAAATTTATTCTGAGCAAGCAGTAAGTGCTCATCTCTCCACATATGAGCAGAAACATTAAGGATTCATGAAGTCGTACTTAATTTAATGATTTCCATTTCTGAGGAACAGTGTGGACAGTATTAGATGCTTTACAAATGAGGGGAACAGAGGGTAATGTTTTTTTTTTCTTTTTGTCAAAGCAGAAGAGTAAATTGGGGCATCACCTCATTTAGAGGTAAGGTGTCCACATACAGTCCAGAAGAGCCAGTTGGGAGGGTCTTGGTATAAAGCAATCCCAACTCATCAGACTGCAACATGGAATACAGAACAAAAAAGAGACTTTGAGATGAAAACACGTCTTGTTTCTTATACTTCAGCTGCCCTCTGATTGCCTTTAAAAGCTCCATGAGACATAATTCTAAGGCAAATCTAACCAATTCAGCTAAAGCTCCAGTTCTATGGCTAATGCAACATCATGCTCCTGGCCACAGCCAGTTAGCTCGCACAGTAAAGAGCAGCACTAGAGACACATGTGTAGATGACTCTGTTAGGTGAGGCAGTCCTGTACATTCTAACACATATGTAGATAGGTCCATGATGTTCTAGTAGTTGGGGCAGCCCTGTTGGCATCATCTCAGAGGAACTATACATTCTACTAGCTTCATATAGTTCTTGAAATTCATCTCCTCTGCTTACTCAAAATATGTCACCTTGTAAGAAAATAATACCTCCCCCCACCCACACCAAGAAACCCCCCCACCCACACCAGGATTGCCAGCTATTTTGCCCTCTGCTCACACATGAATTGTAAAGTTATATTGTCAAATCTGCATGCATGGACATTACTAGACGGTAACAGCAAATGTACTAACGACTCATCTCCTCATATTCAACAGAGGCCTGTCTTTGAGATACATCAAGGCTCATAAACTTGCCAATTTGTTTCCCCTTCATCGCAAAATATCCTCATCTATGCTTCTACCTTTTTTATCTGGTATCAGAGGAGGGGTTATTCTAAAATGGTTCTCCCAACACAGGCCCCATACACCCTCATATCCTACTTCCTCTGTGATCTAGCACTACGAAGGGTGCTAGCTTTTACTTTTAACAATAATCTTCTATGGGATTCCACCTTTATTCCCGCTTTGCAAAGAGCACCGTTTTCCATTCATCCTTAAACTTTTATTTCTTCTTCCCTTTTTGTCTTCTCCTTCCCTTCCCTTTCTTGTGCCTTTCACCCATTGAAGCCACACCGTGTGAAGTTTTTTTCCCTTTGTATCATTTTTTCCTTTTTGTATTATTTTTTATTTATTTATTTTATATAACCAAGTCCATTTAAATGAAAACAAACATTTATAGACAATATTTGGGAATTTGAGCCTTGCTCTTTCCAAACTACTTCCTGCTGGTAAGGAGCGCTGTCATGGGGGATTCTAAGAAAAAGAAATCCTGACTGTAGTCTGCAAGGCTGCTTTGTCCAGCTGTTTTGAATGTAGGATCACCTCGTACTCTGTTTCAGGCAGTCTGGCTTGATCAAACCACATTAGTCTGGAAGGAATCCACAGCTTTTCATTTTCTGTGGAAACAAAAATAGAAATCCTTTTCCCCAGTAACTTGTCCTTGAACTTAAATTTTGGAGTCAAAGAGGGCAGAGAGGATAAAAGGGAGAGAGCGAGGGGGGAAGGAGGGAGGGAGGGGGGACTGGGATCGACATGTAAAATAATAAGTTAAATAAAAAAATCCTTTGTACCATTTTTAAGAGAATTTAAAATCTTCTACCCTGGGAAATTGCATCAATTTCTCCTTGAAATTCTGTCAAATTTTTCCTTTATGTGTTTTGAGATTGTGTTCCTAGGCTCATAAGATTTTACAATTGGCTGTATTTCCTAGCGAATCCTTATCTGCCATTCTTCAACATCTTATTCATTCCTGACAATGTCTCTGTCTTGCATTTCAGCTCATCTGGTATCAATACAACTACATCAGCTTCTCTAACTTCACACTTCCCCAGAAATGAAAGCACCCATGCCTTTTTTCTTTCCATTTCCAATCTTTTCTTTTTTACTGTTAGGTGCATTTTGCATGATATATAGCTTTAATTTTTATTACCATTTAAATAGAGCTAATATAGTAAGCTTAGCCTGTTTGCATGTGCTGTTTGCCCTAAATAAACTTCTTCTACATTTTATTCAGTCAATGAGACAGTCTCACCTGCTGAGCCTCTTTTAAGTATTTCATATAGTGCTCCCTATTTCTTGAAAATAACTCACACCTCTTGCTGGTTTCAACAATAACCTGTTTGGATGTTATTCATAAAAGTGTGTTTCTGGCCTTAACCTCTCTCTGTCTCCACAAGCATAATTGAAACTTGTTTTGGATGCCTTGCTTGGTTTCCCATTGTTATTTCAATTTTTCAAAGTCTGGAAACATCAGTCTCTCCAATTGCCTAAAAAGCCCACTCCTCCATCTCTGTAATGCCCTATCCTTCTGCTGTCACATCCTTTCCTCAGTCCTATGAGTTTCAGCTCCTCCCTTTTTCTGCCAACACTGCCAACACCCCAGCAAGTAATTGCCAAGTTGTCTTGGTGTTCTATCATCACTGTCTCTTGTGTTTGCCTATTTTACCTGATTTCAGTAGCCTCTATTCTCACCTTCTTCACTAAGACAATGTAGCTTGTTTCTCCTGATCTTGGGAAGAAAACCTTTCTCTCTTCCTCTAAGTCTTCTGCACATGCTCCAACCTTCACCTTTTGAGAGTTTGGTTCAGATTTTGTCATCCCTTTCCTTGGCTATCTTCACTATGTCTAAACTAATGTACTTTTTATTCTGGATGCAGCTGGGCATGTCATTACCACATGATCACTTCCCTTTATCACCTTGCCTTCCATCGAGTAATTCAGGGTTCCCACATCTCCTGTTCCCTTAATCAAAACAAACCATTCTTTCTGCTGTCATTCGCACTTGTTCAAATCATATGCAGCTAAGAGCATCCAGTTGTGACATCTCATAACTGCTGAGTACAATTCCAACAGGAAAGGGCAGGGAATAGATTACAGTTGCCTTGAAGCCCGTTTCTAAGCTGCTTGTGGTGGAAGTTGGTCTGCATCATTGCCCACATTGGGTCCCTTACACAGTTTACTATGTGTACCCTCTAGCAGTCTTTGTGATAGCCTGGATTACATAGCCTGTGTTTTAAATAAGAACCGATAGCAGTGACAGGAGAGTGAGCCTATGAGGTTGATTTTAATAATTACCTATTGAGTTTACATCAGGAACAACTACATTTTGTTCATGACATTTTTTTCAAAGCATTCAAATACCGGATTTTCCCCATAAAGGCAAAATGTGACTCCATATTTATGTTAGAAGATAAAAATTAAGTAAAAGTTTAATGATTTCAAGTTCATTTACTGCTGTGTCCAAGATGACTTTCTAGAACTACTTGATTGGGAGTTATAACATGGTGGGGGGGATCTGAATTGTATTCTTATCTTGAAATCTAGAGGACTATCCAGTTTTCCCACTTCATCACATAATTTTAAGTAAAAGCTTCAAAAATTGTAGTAATTACACGACTATTATTTCTTACT